CCTTCCAATCCTAACCATTCTATGATTCTTACTGTCTTCAAGACTGGTCTTGAGTAAGGACCTTGGAATTTCACCCTGAGGGAAGAGCTTAGAACTGGTGACAACAGTCTTGTATTTAGTCACTAAACATCGGCCTAAGTAAACAATCATGTACCTCAGAGGGAAAGTTTGTGCATTACTCAAAGCACTTCATGGTTGACTGCACAGAAAATGCTACCTGTTATTTGCTTTTTCATCTCTACATCCCTGGTGTGTCGGAGTAGGCGGAGCAAGAGTGGGATCCCTTTCTGCTCAGACACTTCCAATTTGTTGTCATTGTCCTCAAACACCAAGTTTCTCAGAGCACCACATGCTGCCCGCTGAACGTCCTCATTCTGAACATCAAGAAGCTGTAAAAGTTTGGGGATACCACCAAGTGAGAAAACCTGTGAGGGAAACAAAATGCAGCAGAGAAAAGTTACATATTGTAAATTACAAACTCCACTCTCCACTTCAGCAAACCTTTAAATAATCACAGGCACTTTTCTCATTTGCTCCTATTTGAAAGACTCGAAGCACAGATCATTAACCATTTGGACATGACTGTTAACTCCTGGGCTTTCATATGAGTCATAGTCAAAATCCACAACTAAGGGAGGCATCGTATTTTAATAATTAATGTAAGAGAATGAAACTAAATCTCTTCCAGCTTTGGTGCAGATTTGTACTCTCTGACAAGACATTTAATTGCTCTGCATTTTAGCTTCCATGTTGGTGAAATGGTATTTGAGATTTAACTCCAGAACATTTATAAACTGCTTTGAGATTTCTGGATGTAAAATGTTCCTAATGTGTCAAGTTTGTTTTTTTTCCTCAGCAGCCAGCCTGATGAAAAGACAATATTTTTCTCTAACTTCTGTACATGTATTTAAAGTATATTAAATAAGAATATATTACACTTAGTAATTCTTATCTGTGGCATACTGAGGAAAAATTATAAACTAGTAAAATTCAAAATGTGGATCATTATCATAAGCTAGTAAACTGATGAACCACCCACATTTAACAAAGACTACTCTTGAGTGTCTAACTCCTTAGAAAATAGGGTTTTGACCCCGAACGAATGAAGAATTAAGAAGATACAATTTTACAGCAGCTGTACAGAAACAAATAGTTTCCAAGTTCTACATATTGTGGCTAATGATGATTCCCATACGAGCTGTGATGCTGCATAAGGAAGCCTTGGTTCATTTAGGAATGAGTTTACTATGGAAAATACTTTACATTCACGTACAATTGAGGACGCTGATTCCTCCAGCATCTCAAAATGCCATATGGTTTTGTGGACAAATTCATCCTTGTGTAGAGTCAACAGCATGTGAAAGACTTAGAAATCTGATACCACCGTTTTGAGTAGTCCAGAGTTTAATGATAAAATGAATTCAATATGACCAACAGGTGTTAGCAACATGAAGAAATGAAATGCAACAAAGCCTTTTGCCCTGCATGCCCTGGCAAACCGCACTGCCTGCCTGCCTTTCCTCTGATTCAGTTGTACAAAAGGCCCTGTTTCTTGCTACTGGGCTGCTGACCTGATTCCCCCCACATTCATTCAGCAATCATCTAGATGCTAGCTGAATGAACTATAGAAATATATATCTCAAGGTAAGAGGAGCATAGAGCATGCTGAAGGCACATCAACCTATGTTATTGCAGTAGATAAGCCCTTTTGACACCAATATCATAGCTAGTTGATTTTAAAAAACATTTATGTAGACTTTCTGTTGGCAATTTTAAGTGATTTATAACTCTCATAAAAGAAGTAATGCTATTTTGACCTAATGTGCAGGGGGAGGATTTACAAAAACTATTGACTGGTTAGTTTAAATTATCGTCGGTAGACAAAATTCACCAAAATACTGTAAGACCACAAGTTCAAAAGAAAAAGAAAAGCCACTAGACCCACAGACTTTCAAGTATCAGGAAACAAAGCATCGGGAGACAAAAAAAAAAAAGCAATGCAGGCTGAAAGGCTAAAAAGGGGAAACAAGAAAATGCCAAGGTGAACAAGTCTGATGGGCACCAAACAGAAAAACTCAGCTAGGATATGTAGGATAGACTAGAAAACAGGCTGACTACTCTGATTTGAACTTTTTCATTCACCACTTGTTTTTTAGGGAAGCTGCCTGAGAGAGAGGTTTGAATTACAGATCACTTCCAAATATTCAGTTCTGAAGCTCTGTCCTCAGACTGAAGTTAAAGCTGTTAATTGTACTGGTGTTTCCTTCCAAAACAAGCTTTGATCTACTGCAAAGCAAGTTAAAACTACCAAAAGACTGAGTGATGTTTGGCTGCCACTGAATTGGACTGCATATACATCAATACAGGCTGAGATTACATATGAATAATACCAAGCAAATTTAAACAAAGAAGGTTTAAGATCTGTTTTAAACGGTTGAAATAAACAATGACTTTACACATCAATGTACAAAACTGTTCAGCAAGAGAGCCATAATTGTGTTCCATAGCAAAATTTAAAGAAAAGGATGAAAAGAATATTTTTAATATGCCCTTTCAAAAACTTGCAAGAGATTTAACAAGTCTTTTGTAAGAGACTTAACAAATTTTGTTAATCCAAACAATGTATCAATGCATTTGTGCAGTCTCAGCAAGCCCTTACCAGTTTGGCTAATCCATACACTGTATGAATGCATTTGAGCAGTCCTAGCAAACCCTGAAGCTTGGATAACTTCGCACTGTACACCCAGAGTTTTCTTTTCTGGGATATTTCTGTATGAATGGTGTAAGCATGCCAGTCAAAAATCAGAGACAGGAGCAATTGTATTGACAAAAAGTTCAGACTCTATGACTTACTCAAAAAGGATGAAAGAACTATGTTTGTTTTGCCTGGAAAAGAGCAGACTAAGTGGGTATACACTTAGCAGCCTTAACACGTGAAAAAACATTATAAAAGGGACAGGAAAAAGATGCTTTTCTCCATATCCATTGAGACAGGACAGTAACTAATCAACTCAGTTTGCAAAAGGGAGATTTAAATTATACTTTAGGAATAACGGGTAAGGGTAGTAAAGCTCTTTAACTGCCTGTAGGAGCTTGTGGGATCCTAGTCAATGGGATTTTTAAAAGTTGGTCATAAACGTCTGTAATTACATAAGCTTTAAGTGAATTCTTACCCTACATTTCTATGTTTCCTATCACAAAATGGTTAAGACCAATTTTTTCTAGCATAGACCAGTGCCGTTCCATGGATTTAGCAGAATCTGCAGCAAAAAGCATCAGCATATTTTAGTGAAAATATTCAACATCAGTATCCTACAAGGTTTCTTGGAGTGTCTTTCTTTCTTCATGTTGGCACATAGCATCAGACAGTATATAAAGTTATTTGCTCTACCTGATTGTAACTGGCATAAAAATAATTACTCACTTTTCTTCTGGCATCTGCTTTCTGGAAGCACTCGTGCTGTATGAAAGTCACTGCAGCAAGAATCCTAGGTGTGGACTGTGTATTTTCACTCCTCAGTATGCTCACTGCACGCTCCAGAGTCATTTCCCCTTCTTGGCTTCTTAAAAGAACAGACAGAGGAAATATAGTGAAGCAAGACTGCAGAAAAATCATCTTTTAGCCTGTGAATTTTCTTGTAATACCAGGATTTTCCAAGTAACTTTAGATTTTCTTAGAAAATTTTTCCGTTTTCAGTAGCAGAAAATATTACAAAAGCTTTAAGAGATACTAATATTAAGAGAGAAGCGAAAATAATAAATGGAAGTGTTGCAACAATGATAGGTTCTGGGCAAAGCAAGTCACGTTTCAAATTATAAAAACAAAATGGAAACATCAGTGGATGAAGGACTAAGATTCAAAGAAGGCCGTAACCAAATTGGAGTATCTTTTACTGATCATGAAGATACCTTGATGTTTTTCCCAGTAATGTGATGATTGCTTTTTTCTATTTGTTTTCATGCCTTTCTTCAGCTTCTCAGTTCCCAGACTACATATATGTAGGGCTCAGTGCCTGCTTTTTTCAAGCTTATCAAAGTTGTCCTAGTTTGAAATAGACGAGCAAAGCTTTTTTTCAGGTGGGACAAAATAAAATCCAGTATATACATAGCCTGTGGTAGGATTAAAAATAGGTGTGGCTGTTTTCCTCTCAACTTCCAGTATGTTTGCTTGAATGATAATTGTGTTAGAGAAACATATAACTAATTGTAAAGGCCCATTTTTTCCTCAGTAAATGGAACATAAAACAATTCATGGCACAATCAGGTTCATTAACTCTGGGACAGGTGGTTATGTTCCCTAGCTTTTTTATTTACTTTTTGTTTAAATACTCTCCACCTAGAGAAAAAAAATGGAGGGGAAAAGTGGAAAAAAAAATGTGAGTATTCTCTTTTTTTTTTTTTTTTTAATCAAATAATTTTGTAGAACCAGATGCCACTGTAAATCAACATCTGCTGCTTGCTTTTGCTAAGGCAAAAGACACTTAGTATGGCTGCCAAGACGGTGAACAAATGAAGAACAATTTTGATACACCTGTTGCAAATGAAATTATACTCTCGTACCCTGAGGTTTCCACTTGCCTTTATTATTCCCCTTTGGTACAGATCGTGTTATTTCTTGTCTTCTCCCCTCCTCTGAGCTACTATCTTGAGCAAATACACTGCATCTATGGGTGCTGAGGCATGCTTGTGCAAGACAAAGATGAAATGAAGGGGACTGCGTGTTGAGGATGTCAATGGAGAGATAAAATCAAAGTGAAATTAGACAGAACTATGGTTAGTATCTCTAGTGCCCTTGGCTCTGGTCTGGCAACATCTACTGCTTCCATCAGTTTACTTCAGCCCAGATTTAAAACAAAGTAGCTACTAAGTTACTCTTAAGTTGCAAGTCAGATGTACCGATCAGAAACCTACTTAAAAATCTTGAACAATGAGCAATGGAAAAAAGCCAGATCATATTTCTTCTTCTTCCTCTCTTCTAAGTGGAACAGAAAAACAGGCTTTTCAAGCTTGGGTTTTAGTCTGGTTTCTTAAATCAACAAGGGTTTTGTGACCATGTTATAAATATGCACATGTGAGCATGATTACCTGCCTGTTAGTCACTGCAATAACTTTGGAGCCTTTTGACCAAGTTGAGTCACCTTCTATAGAGTGGCAGACATCTCCAATGTAGTAAATTGTGAGACATTTCAGTGACTAGGCTAACAGCAGAGAAAGACTCTATCCATGCACTTTCCAAGGTCAAGACTGCTGTATGAGCTGATCCCTCACAGGACATCCGAGAATCTACATGGGCACTCAGCCTCAGGCTACCAAGGATGTCCCAGAGTAGTAAAGGTGCATCAGCAGTCGCTGCCAGGCTGAATTAAATGCCTGTACACCCAGAGACCAAATTTAAGTGCTGGGTGTGTAGATCTGCATTAATCAGATCACCAGAGTTATCCCTTCAGGGCTGATACTCTCCTTCACGTGCAGTAGTCAAAATCTTTCTCTCCTGTTGTGCACAGCCATACTGGGATTGCTCCACACTGGATAAAAAGAACATTCACTAATGTTTTATCTGACAGTAATAAAGGATGCAATACAATCTTTGACCCTTAATGGTTCATAAAGTGACAGCACTCTTAACTTTTGTCAAAATTAATTCCACACAATGATTCCATCCTACCCTCAAAATATTCACAGGCAAACTTAGCAGCCATGTGGCTGGTTAGCATGTGCAACGACAACAAACGAATGGACATTCAGGCAATGGTTGTTAAACAGAACAATGATTTGACAAGTTCTGACTTCACCTTAACTGCCAGAATGTAACATTTTTGAGATACACACACTGTGCTGTCCACTCCTTTTGTGACAGCTCTCAGCATGGTTAGAATTCAGATTCTTTAAGCAGCTGCTTCTCAGACAGCTTCAAGTTGAGCCTCTCTCTCCTAAGCCCTTGATAGGCAGATGCTTTTAGCTGCTTCACTTTACCAGAAGGTACAGAGATAGCATCTCTATACTCTGATTTTTCTACTTTAATTTCATAGCATGAGCTAATTCTTCTACAGAAAGTTTGAAAATGCTTCTATATACTTTTATATACTTATCAAATACTATACACAGTTAGTCCACTACTTCTCTTTAACCTTACACAACTATTTTACATCCTCTTAATTAAGCTCAGAAAGACCTAAATTTTTATTTACATAAAACAGTACGAATTTATGGAAAAATCAAATTACTCAGAAAACAGGCTTATCTTTTTTCCTCCCTTCCATTATTAAAGGGAGCAACAGGTAAGGGAGCAATATATCAGATAATGAAAACTTAAAATCAAAGAGAATAGGAAATGACAAGAAATGTGAGTCTCTACTAATTGCTTAAATTGAAAAGCCTCATCAGAAGAAATTATTGTACTGCTGGTGGAACGACAGACTGAAGTGAAATACCTCTGGTTTGACTGCAGTGTATACCCCAAAGCAAAATGTCACCTGTTATGTTTTAAATACTCAATTCTACATTAAACTGTGCAGTAGCTAAATGTGGATGATCAGAACGTAATACAACCAAAACAGGACTTCTGCATCAAGCCCTTCCAGTGTCAGGAATTACAAGGGGAGTTATTCAATCTGTATTTTAGACGTTTGAAAACAATAATAATGTATGTGAATATCACACACATGTTAGTACACAAGCATATGTAACAAATCCTGACTTCAGTCAGCTAAAATGGCTATAGTCTCTTCCTCATCATTTAAGACCTTAGTGGTGTGAGTCTCTAGTGGAATTGTATCTTACATGCTGCTTTTCACCATCCTCTTCACTGATTTATTTTAGAGACTTTAAAAAACTTTGGGTAGAATAAAGAGCCCCTCACTCCCCCAAAAACCGAGCTATGAAACTAAAGTAGAACCTAGGATATTTGAAAATCTAAGCAAGATATGTACAAGTAAATTAAAAAATCAGGACTAAGATAAATTAGATCCGTAAACATCTGCAAAAGGAACTTTAGAAGATTTCAGAGCACTTCCAATTGTTTTCCTCTGTAATTTCCAGAAAAAAAAAAAAAAAAGAGCTTAAAACCTGGCATTTAAGGAATTAAATTGTTGAAAAGATTTCCATTAAGTCACAAATCTTCCACCTGGACTTCAGTGACATCAGATGATGCCTCATCTCATACAGCAGCAAATTCAGAAAAAAGAAGAAAGGTGGCCTGAACTTAACAGCTGCACAGTTATGGAAAAAGACACATTTCTTAATAACACTGTTATAAATTACACCATGATTAACTTGCATAAGAAACCTTGGAATCTTATTTGGATTATGAAACAACAACAGAAACCACTGTAAACAGTGCAAGTAACCATATCCTGTTTACCAAGTGGTTTGTACTGTCCATTGAACCTTAAGAGCTCTGGAAACGTTCAGAATTATTCTAAAATGAAAAAAATATTTATTCCTGAGAGGAATTTCAGAGCTGATAAATTTTCTCTTTTTAAAGTGGAACCTATTTCAGACTCTGAAATCTTCTCTGGAAATGAATTTCGGGGAAGGCAGAGCGGGGGAAGTAATTTTGGAATAAAAAAGAATGCTTCTAAGATTTTAAACAATTTTCCTGAAGTCTGGGGGCAGCTTTGGGAATTACTGCCATAGAGCTAACAGGGCTTCAAATTAAGACAGCATTCTCAGAGCATGTAGGACCTCATGGTAGCGAGAAACTCTGGGGTTCTGAGATTCAGAGTAGTTTATATTTGTTCTAGGGATGGATGGTGCTACAGAGCTAAGAGAAATTTATGAAGTTTGTCAAAACTAAAAAGTTTTCTTGAAACCATGAAGGATTTCTCACTGGAAATTGTCAATTTGCCAAAAGCTGCTTCACTGGTGGATTTCTGACCTATTCTCGTGAGAACCAGTGCTGAAATCATCCGGTTTCTTAAGAACACAAAATTTGTCAATACATCACTGTGTCTTGTGACTCAGGTTGTAAAGTACTCAATGACTACTTCATCTCTCCTTATAAAATTGATTAACACTTGGCAAAAGGGAATCCAAAACCTGAGCAGGAGGTGTGGACCCTGCAGTGTGTACATACACATACACTTTTTCTCCCTTTCCTCTGTTGCACTGGAAGTGGTTTTTTAAAAGCAAATCTACTTTCTGCATCTTCTGCACTGACATTTCATACACTGTGTTGGCTGCTAAACCATAAGCCGTCAGTTTACTTTTTCTTTTTAAACAAACAGATTCCTTTCAGCTGTGACACCTCAGAACCAAAGTAAGTCCTGCATTGTGCTTACCCTAGCTGAGATCCATTGACGGTGACTTGTTCGCCCTGCAGGAAACCATTTCTCCCTGCTGCTGCCATAGCAGCTGTCAATGGCATCCTCTTCCCATCTGTTTCTGCAGTGACACTGGTTACTGAAGCTGGCTGGGAAGCTTCCCTCCTGGTTTGTGTGCTTCTGAGAGTAGTTTGGTACCAGCTGGACCTTAAAGATTGCCTGTTTTGAGACCCCAAACGGGAAGCAATTGGTGATCTCACTTGTCCCATCGCAGAGGTCAGGTAGTTCTCTTTCTCCAAAAGGTTGGTCATACTGCGACTGTTGCCTGCTTGATGGTACAGAGGTACAGTGGGGCTGGGGTAGACTCCATCAAGGATGACATCATTAATAGCCCCCATGTGGGAGTGTCTCTTAAAAGAGCGTCCCCTGTTCACTGAATCACGAAGAGTGTAACCAACAATCTCAGATCGAGCGTATCTTGGTGGGACGGTTCCACTGGATCTCCTGCTATCTCCATGCCTCATGGAGAATCCAGGTGAAATGCCTCTGTCATAGTGAAAATCATTGGACACATAAGCCAATCTTTCAGGACCTTGTTGGGGTGAAACCTCTAGTCTCTTCAGAGGCTGTCTTTGAGCTCTCTCTTCCATGGCCTTGTAACTCATCCTAGTCCCCCAGCCATTTGTATAAGAGGACGGTGAGGCCACCTGTTCAAGGGTGCATAAAAGAGCAGGAGTCGTGGTGAGATCACAACGTTTAGGATTAATATCAAAGAAACCAAACCAAAAAAGTAAAATTATAAAAAAATAAATAGACCTTAGAATAAAATTTCTAAGGTCTGCTACCAGAATCAGAAAACAAAATACAAACATCACCAAAATTGTGTATTAAATGGGATTCTGCAACACTTCTTTGTATCTGCCTAATAAAGGCAGGAAGAAGTACTGTCTAAACATTAGGAGACAAATTCTAAGCATCTAGACTTCTGTCATTAATACAAAATAGGTGCATAAGTTAATTACGCCTGGTAGTGAACAGTCTGCTTATTAAGAGATTTTAGTTTCAGTTTGAAACTCCTTGGGGATTAACACCCACATCTGCTACTAAAATTAAATTCAAGGCTGTCCAATAGACAGAAGAAAATTAATCAATCAGATATTAACATATTATACTGAAGTGTCTGCACATTGCTATTAACCTTATTAATATAATTTATTTAGCCTTCCTATTCACTTCGTGGTAGGATCTAGTAAAAAGAGATAGTCCCTTCCCTGTTTGTCTAACCTCTTAAAAATGAAGGAGACCACATAACATTCCAAGGAAACCAAAATGACCGTTTCACCACCTCAATGGTTTCTCTAATTCTACAGTTGCAATTTAAGATGATTTTTCTTTTCCTGTCCCTAATGGGCACGGACAGTAATGGATCATCATCTTATTTTATAAGTTTCTCTTTTCTAAACTCAACAAACACACTTCCTTCAACCTTTCTTTGTAGGATGTGTCTTCAAGATTCTTAGTGTTTAGATGTCATTTGGGGCCTCTGATTTTTCTGCCTTTTTCTTGTGCTCTAAATTGGACATCATACTCTATTCAAGACCTCCTAGAACTAAATCAACTTGGGTAACTATCTGGCCTTGAAATAAAGGAGTTATGGCCCAATTTTTTAAAAATCAGTAAGCATTGTGTCATCCAGCCATAAATCAAAGCCCCATATATATTCTATTTCCATGTTGTATTAAAGTTTTGTAATATTAAAAGACATTTTTCAAGGTAAACTGAGAAGCTGACACAAGTTACTAACTGAAGGGACAGTACTTAGCAGACAGTGGCCAGAGTGAAATCCCTTAATTTCACTATTGAGCAGTTACTGAGGGTGGTAATCGACTCACAAAAGGAGTAAAAGTTGCTGAATCTAGTAGACTGAGGCAAGGATCATTGGATATATCTGTTTATTCTACAGAAGCTATGCAAGGATATCTTTATCTTTTGTTTGGGTATAAGGAAATTAATGCTTTTGTGAAATACTAGACCTTGTGGCTTTTTCTGGATTTCACATACGACAAATAGTCTCTCTCTCTGTTTTTTTTTTAATTCTCCAACCCCCCTGCCTGGAAAACTGTAGCATTTTCTTGTGGTTCCTATGTTACCTCCAGTTTTCCTCTTGTTGCTCTCTTCTAGAAAGAAGAGATACACATCAAATATTATGGATTGGATGACAGGTGAGAACAGAGGATAGGAGGACAGAGAAGGAGATGTATTTAAGTAAATGGTTCTAACTCTACTCATACAGAGCCAGAGCCGCTTCATTAATTGGCCAGAAGCTGGGCTATTTCTTTAATGAGAATAAGCCATTCTTGAGGAAGCTAAGATTAAGAAAGAATCGGCCTCATGTATACAGCTATTTATTAAATAAATATTTCTGTTCCCAAGCCGAATTATTTCATCTTACTAATATTGATAACTCAACAGCATTGCTACTGAGCGATGTGTTGACTTCCAAGTCATATGGTTGCTCCCTCAAATAGATTCATACTGGTTATAAGCTGTGTCACAAACCTTGCAGAAAACCAATTATTTATCTTAGCATTCAGGCCATGAACCCAAGAAAAGATGGTCAAAATAGCAAGTGAATTTATGATTAGATATTTTGAACGTTTTGAAACACCATTGTATTGGAAGGACTGTGCTGCTGAAATTATTGTAACACTAAAACAGGTTACAACAGGATTATTTTAAATGATAAGGAACACTCCACCCGTCATCATGAGACTAAAGTAATCTGTTTTGCTGTGGTTTTGGATGCTTAATTCCCTAACCTCTTTCATCGCATTCCCAGCTCCTACCCACGTCATTTTTTACCCCACAGGACTACTGGACTTCCTCTGCGGACCTCCATCTGTTTATCTGGGTAGGTGGCAGTGTGGTCTCCAGCCACTTTGAGCTGCCGATGTGCTGACTGACCTGCTGCCTGGTGGGACGGAGAAAGACCTGACTTGTCACAGTCTTTGTCTTAGTGGAGCGTTAATAGGGTTTTTCATTTTCTGCTCTGATGCCAAACCTCACAAAACCAACAGGATTGCAGAAAGCCCATCTGTACCACTGAGTTGAATTTAGCTATTGGGCTCAGAAGTCACCAGAACAGGGAAAAATGTTAACAGATCTCAGTTGTAAAAACCTCCTTTTCTAGAAATCAGGCTTTAAAAAGCAAACAAGCGAGCAAGCAAACCTTGAAACACCATCTACATGCTATTATTTGTGGTAACAAAATGGATAAATTATGCATGTTATATTATATATATTTCTATTTGTTGTCTTCTTTTCCTCACCTGGTTTGACTGGTAATATGAGAAACCATAGGGAGTTCTTGGTGCAAAATCATCTTCAGTAATCCCCATGTTATAGACACGCTCTGGGACACTGGCTGCACGGTGCAAACTGCCTGTAACCAAAGACTAATATTAGTAAGATTTTAACAACACGTGATATTGTTATAAAGGATGATCTACAGTACTAGGGAAATGTCCCAGTCTGCATGGTCATTAATATAAATAAGCTGAAAATCAGACAGGTAAATGACAGAAGGAGGTTTGCATTCATTGTATCACATTCAAAACACAGCTAAGCAAAGCTTTCAGAGCACACAAGCCATTTTTTTCAGTTTCCTATTTATTTTACTTAAGACATATTTTTAACTTTTAGAAGTCTTGTTGTTCACATAGCTATTTAATGAAAACAGCTTTAACATAGCAAGCTGATATTTTAAATATCCCAGATAATGACAGATTATTAAGTACTAAGAAATGGTATCACTGAACAGCTTATTTTCCACTGTAACCACTTTGAATATATATGCATGGTTTACATTAGAGGCTGACTATAACATGCACAATGCGCAAGAAATTAAAATACTGCAGCTGTACATTGTAGATGAGAAACATGGGTTGATGTGTATAGCTCTGTCACTGTGCACCCTAGAGATGCAATTTTCACAATGTACCACTGTAAATAAATACCATACACTGAATACAGACTGTTTATTTCATAGTTATCTACCTCAACTGCTGATGTTTCTTCTCCCTTAGGTGCTAGTTTAATGATAAGATATTGGAGCAAGTAATGCTTCACTAATCTTCTCAGTGCTCCACCCAAAGAGCACAGAGTCCACAAACAAATTCCATCGCTTATGGAGGATCATGGCATGATCCTGTAAAGTAGGGTTGTTTAATGACACTTCAAATCTGCACCTGAAAGGTTCACTAATCACACAAATAATGTATAAGATCCACAGTGTATCTGCTCTTATTCTTTTTTTCCATGATCCAGCTTTGAAAACAGAACAATGCGTTGTGATTCTTTCTTTCATTAAAACTGCATTTTTTTTTAATTAAAACCAACCAACCAAGCAAGCAACCAAAAACTTCAGGCTGCTTGTCTTTCACTGATACAATGAATTTTGAAAGAAAAAGTGCTTCTATTAATTTTTTTAAAGCAACAGATACTGCTGAAATAATTGTTCACTATGAGAATCTGCATATAGGAATATAAATAACACAGGTTATAACACAGACAGGTTTAAAGAGGTGAAGCAGAAGTTGAAAGCAAGATATACCTCAAATCAGTCATAAATGGGGCCAGCGTGTGCTGCAGAAGTTTAGGCTGATCAGTTAACAGTGGTCAATAAAGAAGTTATTGGCCATGAATTTTCAAAACAGCAGGTATTACCTGAGATAATATAGAAAACAAACCTAAAGAACCAATCATAAACTTGTTCAAACTGACGAAGTCTCCACTTGTAAAAATAGTAGGAGTCATATGCCCATGGGAATCCAGCTGCCAAAAAGATGCAGGCAAGTGCCTGCCAGGACTTTTGAAGCACATAGCATATGTGTGCTAAATAGCTGAGGCTTTCAGTTTGTGCAGTTAGACTCCAGGCTTCATTAGGTGCATTGGGCATCCCTAGGAACTTCAGTACTCCTGTATCCTCCATCCTTAGTGTCTGCAGTTAGTAAAGGGCTTGACAAAAATGAAAATAAGAGACTCGTGTAACAAGAATAATTTATGAATGATTCTCAGTAGCATGTAGCTACCTGGATAAGTCCAAATTTATATATAACATAATATAATACCATACAATATATTGCCAGACTGCAATAATTTGAAACCTAATTCAATCCTGCTTTGCAGTTATTTTGCTTATTTAACCATACTTTCCAATTCTTTCATTTTCGCCATGTGAGACAGCGTTAAACATGTATTAGCTGATTTGTTAAGACACATTCACGGTAACTTTGCGTCATGAGAGTGGAATGATGCAGCTTGGTCAAACTCATGATTTGGATTGTAATAATTCTTTTGTGACATTACAAAGTTACCATAGACCAAGGGTTACCCAAGTACATGAGAAAGCAGCAACACGAAACTGTTATTTTATACTGCAAAAAAATCCTGCCAATGTTAACCAACATCTAAAATCTACAAATTCATATAAATCTCTCATTTGGGTCATATAATTCCCATATCAATGTACTATTTCAGGTGCCCAATAAGACTCCATCTTAGCCTATCACCTGTGCCTGCTTTTTAAAGATTCACTTTATTCATTGCTGCATATCAAACTACTTTCATATAACAAGTCTTTAAATCCATGTACATATACATTTCTGTTTCTTTATAGTTAGTAATTTTTGTCCAGTTTACTTTATTCTACTTAGTAAGAAATTATTCTTATTTATTTATCTACTTAGGGCATAAAGATCCTTTCAGCAATTAATTAGTGCATCTTTTAAGTTGACTCTAAACTCCCTGTCTTTACTAAAAAAATTAAAGAAAAAAGGATAAAAAATAACAAGGCTATCCATTAACTAGTTGAGGATAAACTACATATCTAACAGTTCTCTCTCTGCAAAAGCAAAATACAGTCAATCAGAAATTGCAACACTCAATTTGACTATCTTCAAATAGTCCTCTTTTTTCAACCTTCAGTCTCCCTGTGAAACTATCCGTCAGTAAACATTTTTCTCTTTCAGAGATAAACACAGTATATGTTTGCTTACGGAATTTCACTTTGCATTTACAGTATCTTTTGCTTGTTTTTACCACGTAAGTAAATTTTACCAGCATTTTACCATAGATTTATTAGGTAGACATAAAGTGTATGTCTTTTTACTGTCTGCTGTTCACTTGTGCCAAAAACCAGCGTGTTAAAGGAAAAAGTGGTAACTAAAATGTTGTGTCCTTCCAATAGTTATGAGATGCAGAATAGGTGATCATCTGATCAAAACTTGCCTCTGTCAGTGAGGCTTTCTTCAGCTTATTTTCACCGTACTACAAAAACCTACATGTTTTTCACATCTTTCAGATTTGCTCAGCCATGACTGATTTTTTTTTTAAATTATATTATGGGTTAATTTACTGTTAGGATTAATACGTTCTAACTGTGAGCCTCAGTGTTTTAAGTATCACAAAAACTCTCTCTTTAGAAAGTATGCACATGATTTAGTTACTCATCCGCAGGGCACAAATACTACTTGAAGAGGCCATAGGATACCACACTTTATTTCCAGCAGCCAGTCAATAAAAGGATGGGTTTCCTACAGGCCCTGTGTTATGTCTGTCAACCCATGAGGATATTTTGGAAAACTCAGGCATCTCAACCAGCAGCAGACATCCATGTGTGGGCAACTGAGTGGAACCGTTTATCATAGTCTCCCCTCTACCCTGTCAGTATGAACTAAAGCAGCTCAGGAGTGCTTTGCATGCAACTGAGGAGGAGGAAAACTAATCTCCCTCGCTCTTCTCTACACCTAAAATAAAAGCTGTACAAAAATCGAGTATCGCAACAGATAACAAAAAAATCTTGAGATCTGACAAAATAATTACACTATCAGGAGGGAGTCTGTACAGATAACTGATGAAAAAATCCCATCTGTCTCCAGAGAGGCTCCTCTCGAGTCCTCTTTGCTCCCCTGGACGTGACAGGTCCAACATCTCCAAAGGCCTTGGAAGTTCCTCCCCAGCAATCACTGCCTATGGCTATAGATAGATCCATCTCCTGTTTGCTTAGCTTTCAAAAATAACGACAAGAGACATCACTAAGATACATGATACATGAAAAAGACAATTATCCTTTGTTAAGAAGTCAGGTGTATCAAATTCCCCTTAAATCATGTACACTGTTAACTCTCAGTTGTGAGTCTTTTTCAGAGCTTTTGTATTTGAACGGTTACCATGAAAGCCACATTTTGGGTTTAAACCCCCCACTGCAGGCATCAGTGTAGCTGTACCCTGTACACACAAGTCTATTAAGGACTGCGATATTTTCAAGCACCCTGCATGCTCCCCTGCTGAGCACCCACTGCCCACTCTTGCTCAGGGCAGGTGGGTGGTTATACCCTCAATAGAGACTCCACAGTGTCCCTGGACTGTCATCTTTTAATCCTTTTTTATACTCCTTTTTTACACTCATGATGGACTGAGATGGCGACATTTAAGAATGGCATATCAAAAACTTCACTGAATCACTACATCCAGAGATCAAAGAGCTTTCTTTTTGATCATGCTCCTTCATCACTCTGCCAGTATATGCCTGGTCCCAAAGAGGGAGTTCTAACTTTTTTTTTTACTTTGTACTGGTCAGTTAATTTACACAATTGCTCAAATTTAAGAAAAAGATTTCTTCTGGCTCAGAAAGCTGAGGTAAAGAATTTAATGAAACCAACAAAAAGTGGAAGTCATCAACAAGGATTTTTTTTTTTTACTTCCTTTTCCCACAAAGATATAAATAGAAATTCACTACGAAACAGTTAACATAGTCAGAATTCTGCAAAATAGAAGGCTGAGGATAGAAACTCTCCCAAACCCCTAAAAGCAAGTTTAACAAAACATACTGCTAAGAATTTTAGAAATGAAGAAATGTGAAGAATAAATAAGGCTCTGATTGTAATCGTCTTGAATCTGATGCTGTTGATTTGGAAATCAGACAACTTTTAATTGTTTTTTATAAACATAACTGTGTTTATAAAATCTTGTGTTAGAAAAAGAATCTCTATACAGACAGCAGTTCATCAGGTTGTTTGGTTTTGTATGATATATTACCCAGTTCTGTTGTCATTTTCTACAGTGGAACTGATAAGAATGTACAGGAAAGCAGACTTTAGTCCAAGGATTATACTAAAGAAACAGAAATACCACAAACGATTTCAAAAAGCCAATCAAAATTCAAACAGAGCAAGATCAGAGCAACTGAACTCATAAAACAGAATAAAATTTAATTTAATAGGTTCCTAAAGTGTACATAAACTAATCAAAACTGTTGTGTTATATGTGATCTGAAAAACACCAGTCATTAAGGTATATGATTCTGAAAGGCATTTTTCTTTGATAAGGCTGAACTATCCTCCATTCCCTTTCCACCTTTAAATTGCATTCGGAAATT